ATATAATTTAATTATTTTATTATTTTATTATTATTATTTTTCCTTATATATTATAACGTTAAGCATTAACGAATAATGCATATTAGCAAGCAATGTACTTTTCCCAAAACTGTTATAATGCATCTTATAATTACGTTTTCTTGCGTTATATTTTAAAATAAATAAAATAAAAGAAGATAAGATTAAACATATTATTTAAGCTCTTTAAAATAACTTAAAATTAAGTAAATAATATATAGCCAATATTTACTAAGTCCTTAAATCCACTCTTTATTATAAAATAGCCAGCTAAACCATATAATGCAATACCTATCCTAATAATAAGAGATTAATAAAAATAAAAAAAAAGGTACTTATTTAATATATACTTAATTAAGATTTATAAGAATACTTACTTATTTTTAAGAATATTAAAGATATAATAAATTCTTTACTTTATAATTATAATAATAATGCCATTAAAATTAATTAAGCAAAAAAACTTATTTTATTAAAACTATATTTTAAAATATATATTAATTATATATATAATTATTAAAGGGCCTTATATAAAAATCTTAATATAATAAATATATAATTTAACCTTATATTTAATATATATAATAAATATAATATTCTTAATTATAATATTTATAACTTTAATAAATTAAGCTTTATAATAAGCATTAAATTACTTAAAATAATAATTATATATTTTAATTAATAAAGATAAATAAAATAAATATAGCTTAGGAATTAATAATAAGCAATAGCTATTAAATTAATTAATAAAAATAAATAATATAAATTATTATTTTTAATTATTAAGGCTAAGATATATTTTATAAGTTAATATATTAAAGGCAGCTTTTTAAATAATTAAGTAATTAAAATAAATTTAAATAAATAAATAAGTAATAAAATTATTATAAAATAAATTTAATACTTTAAAAAATATATTATATTATATATAAAGGGTATTTATTAATTATTAATTCTTAATAAGCATAAAAGCCATTATTTTATGGATTTTAAGCAATATTATAAATTTAAAAATATTATTACTCTTTATATGCCTCCTTATTTATTTTATTTATTTTAGCCATTAAATATTAAGTATTTTAATTTATTAAAGAAAGTATATAATATAAAAATTAGCTAATTTAATAAGGCCTAAATTACTTATATTAATAAGATAAAGTTCTTTCTTACCTTTTATGCTATATATAAAAGGGTTTTTAAGCTAAAAACTATTAAGGGAGATTTTAAAGAAGCAAGCTTTATTTTATTTAATTAAAAAGCTATGCTTTTTAAGCTAAATATTAAAATTTAAATATTAATAATTATATTAAGCTTTTTAATATTATTTATATCTTAAGTTTCTTAAATATTATATAACTTAATATAAGTAGTTTTTTAATTAACTTTAATTAAAAACTAAATCTTTTATTATTAAAAAAGCTTTTTAATATTAATTTTAATTATTATTAATAAATTAATAAAGAATATATAATTATTAGCTTATATAATTATACTTTTAACTTAAGAAATTAATAATCTTTAAGCTATAAATATAATATTTTTTAAGCATTAAAGGGCTAAAAAAATATATATATAAAATAAAAAAGCACTTATTATATAAAAGGCTAAAGAATTAATTAATAAAAAGGAAAAGGAAAAGCGGCTAATTAATGAAATAAGTAATAGCACTAAGGAGTTAATCTACGGCAAATTAATAAAAAGATAATATAGCAATTATAGCAAAATTAAGTATAATGCATAAACTTATAAGAAAAATATAAAATAATTTATAAATTTTAATTTTAATTAAATTTAATTAATTTTTTCTAATTATAATACTGCAATTTAAGTTATTATGCTCTTAGTGTTAAAAAGTGCGTTGCTCGCTAATATGCGTTGTTTATTGATGCTTAACATTATATAAAAAGTTTAATTATATAAATTATATATTTTAATAATTTAATTATTTAAGGAAATCTTTTTATATTATTATTTTTATAAATATAAATAAAATATTTTAAATTAATCTTTTAATATAAATTTTATTATATTTAAAAATATACTTTATTTTTTATAATAAAATTATATTAATCTTTAAAAATATTTTTATTTTATAATTTTTAAAATTATTAATAAACTTTATAAATAAATTATAATAATAATAATTTATTATAATATATTAATAAAAATAATATATTATAAATATATTTAATTAATTAATTAAAATATTTAAATTATTAATTATTTTATTAATATTAATTAATTAATTAAATTATAATAAAGTTAAAAGTTAAATTTTAATTAATTTAATAATTTAAATAAGCTTTTTTTATAACTTATTTTTAAGATTTAAAGAATTTTTAATATATATTTTAATTTTAAGTATATTTTTTAATTTTTATATATAAAAATAAAAAATAAAAATAATAAAGGAAATAATTAAGTTAAAAAAGGAAATAAAAAGAAAAAAAAAATATTTTTTTAAAAAAATATAAGTTTTTAAGTAATATTAAAGTTAAGTTTAAATAAATAAGTTATTTTTTTATTATATATATAATATATATTCCTTAAAAATAATAAATTAATTAATTAAATACTTAATAATTTTATATTATTTTAAAGTAATTAATTAAGTAATTTAATTAAGTAATTTATTTTATTAAATATTTAATAATGAAAAGTTTAATAAAATATTTTTTTAAAAATAAAAAAATTATTTATTAAGATTTAAAATTAATATTTAATATAAAATTAATAAAGAGTTATTTTAATAAATTAAATCTTTATAATAAATAATTAATATTTCTTTTTTTTTATTAATTTATAATTACTTTATAATTATTAATTAATATTAAAAAAACTTACTTTATATAAAACTTTAAAATAAAGTTTTAAAGTAAATAATTAATAATAATAATAATTAATTTCTTTAAAATAAAAAGCATTTTATAAAAAAATATTTAAAATATTTTTATATAAATTAAATAAATTATATATTAATATAAATTAAATTAATTTAATTTTTTATATTTATTAATATATATAATAATTATTAATTTAATTATTATATTTATTATATATTTAATATAATTAAAATTATAAAAAGTATTATTAATAATTTATTATTTAATTATTATTTTATAAAATAACTTAAATTAATTTTTAATAATTTTTAAATTTTTATAAAAAGCTTTTTTATAATTATTAATATATAATTTATTATAATAATTTTAATTTATTTCTTTATATAAAGTTTATTTTAAAATATTAAAAAGTTTTATATTATTTTTTTAATTTATTAATTATTTAAATAATTAAAAAAGAAATTTTTAAAAAAATATATATATTATAATTATTAATTTTTAATATATTAAATATTTAAATAAATAAATTAAAATAAAATTAATATTTAAAAACATTAATTTATATAAATTTTAATAACTTTTAATTATATTATATTATTATTAATTTTCTTAAATTAATAAAATTAATTTTTTAATAATAATAATAATAATAATAATAATAATAATAATAATAATAATAATAATAATAATAATAATAATAATAATAATAATAATAATAATAATAATAATAATAATAATAATAATAATAATAATAATAATAATAATAATAATAATAATAATAATAATAATAATAATAATAATAAATTAAATTATATATATATATAATTTTTTTATTAATTTATTTATATTAAATAATTATATTTTAAAATTAAATAAAAATTAATATAATTTTCTTTCTTTATTTAAAATATTTATTTTTATTTTTTTAAATTATTATAAAATTAATTATTTTTAAATTTTATTTTTAATTAAAGTTATTTTTTTAAAAAAATAAGTATTTTATAATTATTTAATAAAGATTTATTATTTTTTTATAAAAAAGTTATAATATTTTTATAATAATATTATAAAAATATATTTTTTAATATAAAGCTTAAATATAAATTAATTAAAAGTTAATTAAATTATTTAATTTATTAATTTAATTATTTTTATTTTTTATAATAAAATATTTAATGCTTTTTTATTAAAGTATATTAATTTATAATTTATTATTTATTAATTTTAATATAATTTTTTAAATATTTTATATATAACTTTTTAATAAAAAATTATAAATAAATAAGTTATAATTTATATTTATATAATTAAAAAGAAAATTCTTAAAAATAATTTTAATAATTATAATAAAGTTTAAACTTATATTTTTTATAAAAGAAAGTTAAATATATAATTAATATATTATATAATTATTAAAAATAAAAAGTTAATTATAATTAATATTAATTAATATTAATTAATATTAATTAATATTAAATTTAATTAATTTCTTTATATTAAATAAATATTAAGCTTAATTAAAGTTAAATAAAATTTAAAATAATTAATTATTTATTAATAAATTATATTAATAAAATTATATTATAAATAAATTAAAATTATATTATATTTATAATTATAAATAAATATAAATTATAATATTATTATTTAATTAATTATTTTATAATTAAATATATATTTTATAAATAAAATAATTTTAATATATATTTATAATTATAAATATAATATTATTTTAATTTATTTATAAATTATTTTAAAATTAATTTTATTTATAAATATACTTATTTTATTTCATTATTTTATTAATTTTATAATAATTTACTTATAAATTATTATAAAATTATTAAATTTAAAACTTTTAAGTACCTAGCAACCCATCACCCTCCTACCAACCAACACAACACACCCAAGCACAGCCTGAATTCCACGACAACCCTCCAACCTACCGACCACACCCAAGACAGCAAACCAAGCAACCCTTCAATTGCCTTCGTCATGGACACAGCACAAATCTTCCTCATTCCCAACTAGGACACACAAGACGAGAACGAATGGACCAACGTCACGAACCACATCGGCGTCTCGTCGCCATACCACGTCAAGGACGAACAAGGCGCGCTGTCTGGCGTCGACTGCATGGTCCGCGTCGTCCAGCACCTGCTTCGCAACCTTCGTCGTGAGCTCTCGCAGCGGCTGATACGGGAGCACCGCGGCGACAACTTCCTGGTCGACCTCGCCATCCGCAACCTGGAGCGCGACACGCCAGGAGAGCGGTAGAGCATGCAGGTCGCGAGGGACGTCCTCTGGCGCAGGCTCTGCCGTCAGAAGCTGGGCACGAGCGGCGCCCCAAGCTTCGTCGAGATCGACCAGAGCGCCCTGATGCAGGAGACGCTGTGGGCGGAGCCCGACTTCCAGCCCTTCCACGAGTCGTTGGTCAAGCCCCGCGGCGCAGAGGGTTTCCAGCCCCCTGGGACGCTCGACATATACCCCAGCGACCTCGACGCGCTCCGCACCTCGCGCAGCCTCTTCGCCTGTGACACGAGCGTCCACGGGAGCTTTGAGCAGATGTTCAAGGGGCACTTCAAAAGGGCCCACTTCGACGGGGCACATGGCACGTACTCTTTCTTCTCCAAGGCGCCCATAGTCGCTCGCATCCTGTTTGACCCGACCAAGGCAAGGCTCAAGGGCCTGGGCATATCCGCCCTGGACCCCACGGCCATGACCACCCGGCGGGAGACCCGTCGGCGCCGCGAGGGCGGGGAAGGCGGGTCGACTGTGTCGTACTCGGCCGAAGATATGGTTATCACGTACTGCCTGGTCGCCGCTGTCCGCCTGCGCAATTCATCGCACGAGCATGACTACGTGTGCCTGTACGACCGGCGCAGGAACCCCGTCGTGCCCACAGGGCCGGCCGAAAACTGCACGTCGTACCACAGCGATGACTGGTGCGTCAGCGACCAGGACCACCAGTACATGCTGTACTATGTGTCAGTGGGCATCAATGACTGGCCGGGCCTGGATCACCAGGTCGCAGAGCATGAGCAGGCCGAGCCGCAGCCTCCGAGCACTGGGGCAGATGAGCAGCCTGCCAGCTCAGGCACACAGCCTAGCTCGTCACACCGTCCTGTCTCGTTCACGATCATCCTGCCGAGTCGCGCGGTGCCACCTAGCTCGGCCACGATGCCGTCGTCTTCCGTGAACCACCCCGCGTCGGCAGCTGGCCCGGCGGGACAGGCCAGCCCGGTGGTGCAGGAAAAATCGTCAGCGCCACCCGGCGATCCAGCCTCGCCCAGCCTGGCCCCTGCTGCCGAGGAGCATGCCAAAGGCGATACTACTGGCGAGAGGGCTGCTGATGCTGGTGCTGGTGCTGATGATGACGCTCCGGGCCACGGACGAAAATCGCATGCTCAAGGCAGAGAGTCCAAGAAGACCCCAAGCTCCTCGACGCGCAAGAAGAAACGGAAGAAGGAGCCACTGCCGACTTACAGCTCCAGCTTCGAGGAACAGGAGCGTGAAAAGGCGAGGCAGGGTGATTAGATAGAATCTTACGAATACGAGCATGGTTTCACGGCATCCATTCTTGGCTCAAAGTGACGAGTTTCAAGTGACATGACATCATTACTCAGTGCCTGACCAGAACCAACCATTCAAATTGCTACAGAGCACATAATCTATTCAAAGGCATTCCCATCCCACATTGTACCATGCTGTGGCGCTTGCGCTTTGGGTACAGTGGTGGGCATGTCGGCAAGACGTACAAGCCCGGCTTTTGTCTGGTCGACACTGTCAAAGTGATCCCCATCTTGTTCGATATGGACTGACACGCCCCTGTCAACCGGGCTCACGTCGTCGTCAGACCCTGAGGTGTCATCATCGGCCGCGGCAGAGCTGGCCTCCTCGGCGGCGTTCTCATGGGCGTCGGACTCCTGCCCAAGATCCTGCGAGTGCGATGTGACTGGCCGGGCCTTGGAGGGACTGTCATCCGACTGCTGCCGTGGAAGGACAAGTCCACCGGACGCCTCGCCGTGCTCACCCTGCAGGATATCATCGTCAACGTCCATTTGGAATCCGTCGTCGGCGGCGACATCGTTGTCGCCGAATAAGAGGGCTGGAAACGACGGTCCATCCCGCCGCTCATCGGAGGAGGCGATGCTCTCTGGCACGGAGGTCTTTTTCCTTCCCGACGGGAGCCTGTCATCAGTCGACATGAAAGGATGGAAGATGTCCTCGCCACCTCTCTGTAGACCAAACGGAGAGAGTGCGGTGCCACTGGAAGCTTTGCCCGGTTTGGCACTGGGCAGGTCACGCCCGGACTCGCTCGCCTGGGCAGCAGGCTGAGGGGCAGAGTCCGACTCTTCCGAGTCCAACTTGTGCGATGCCCTACCTCGCCTGAGGCGCTTCAGCACAACGGGGGGATTGGAGCTGTCCGACTCGGCACCCTGCGGGCCAGCAGCGTGTGCCGCATTGGGGTTCGGACTTGTGTGTACTCCTCCTCGTCTGTCTCCTCTGGAGTGGTCTCCACTGGCTCGGCGTTCTTGCGTGGCCGCCCTCGTCGCTTCTTTGCAGCCGTGGCGCCTGAGGCAGCGCCCGAGGCAGCGCCCGATGCATCGCCCGATGCACCGCCGCCGCCGCCCGAGGTATTGGCTGGCGCGGGCTTGTCCTTCCTTGGCCGTCCGGCCTTCCTCTTCTTTGAGTTGTCAGGTTGGGCGGGTTGTGCAGGCTGTCCTGCCCCGGCAGCGGCAGACTCGACGTAGATGTCGGCATACTCCTTCTTTGGCGCCTTCCGGACACCCAAAGGATGAGAGACATGCTTGTATATGTCGCCGACGTCCGGGTGGCGCTGACGTAGCACCTGCAACCGGCGGTTGTGGATGATGCCCTCGGCCAGCAGCTCTTCGACGGGGTCCTTGTAATTCTTCAGCAGGTCGACCGTGGCGCGGATATCCCTGAGCCCTCGCTCAAAGAGATCGGCGCTGTGATATACGCGCAGCTTGCCGTGCCTGGTCTCGTCCAGAGAGGCGACTACGGCACTGACGTGCTCGGTGGCGACCTGGTGAGGGAATTCGGCATTGGAGATTGGCTTTTTGCTGTTCGCAACGATCGCCCTGAGCAGCTGCGCCCATTGTGGCAGCTCTCCTTCCGGCCAACGGGCCCTCCACTCCTTGATGGAGTCCCGCACGAGCTCGGCGCCGACCAACTCATCATTGTTCTCTGCCACCTCCTTGACAACCTGGAGGAAGAGGTCGTTGAGGTCAGGGATGACCCAGTGGAGGCGTTGCCACGAACACACCGGGAACTTGACGGCCAGCGCAATCTTGTCGGGGCTGTTGTCGAAGATGGGGTGCGCGATGATCTTGACCAGGTGGTTGCAGAAGGATGCCGTCCAGTTCTGTGTCGGCTGTGCGGTGTCGTATTCCAGGCCGTACCTCATCCCGATCAGCTCGGTCGGGAGGCACCTGAGGAACCTCGCGCACGTCTTCCACAGGTACAGCTCATATGCATTGGCTTGCTTGCAAGGCCTTCGGGCACGCTCCCCAGCCCATTGGGCCTGCACCTGCGCCTCGTCCTTGTCAGACCAGAACTCGGGCAGGATGCTGTCCCTGTCCCTCTTGAGCTTGTCGAAGTCCGCCTGTGTGAGGGTGCCGTAGTGCTCTTTGCCCTCGCTCTGCGACTCTTCCATGACTTGTTTGAGCCATGACAGCTCCTCCTCAACCACCGCGTCCTGGGTGTTTGACTTCGCCGCCTCTTTATCTTTTGGTCGACCTCTTGGCGCCATTTCGAGATGGTCTTGTTCGCGTTATTTGTGTTTGTGTGTAACGTCCCCGGCCCCGATTCCGATCACCCCCTGATCCCGATCACCTCAGCACCCACACACTCCCCTATTATTACCCTTAATTGCCCGCTACCATAATGCACGATCCCTCTTCCGTTAATGTTTTTAATTCTCTAAAGGCATTACTTTTTTTTAATACTTTTCCTACCTTTATTTAAGCCTTATAAATAGCCTTAATATTAATAAAAGCTATATTTAAGTTAATTTAAACCCTTTTCCTTATAATTCTTTAGCTAACTTTAATTTAAGCTTTAAATTATTAATTTTTTTATAAAATTATTATTAATCAAATTTCTTTCTTATTATATACTTTAAAAAGCTTTTAAAAAAATACTTATAATATAAAGCTTAAGTATTTAACATGGTTTACTAGTAAATAGCATATATTAGTAAATAGCGCACTTTTATAATTTTCGCTAACTTTAGTTAACCCCAGCACTTACTTAATGCAAATAATTTAATTAAATTTAGCATTAATTAATGCTAATTATAATTAAATCCTTGTTTTTAATTAATTTCATTAATTTAAAGGCATTAATATAGTTGCAATGCTAATTTAAATTAATTAACTTTTAATAAGAAATATACATTTAATATTATTTAATATTAATTATACCCTTAAAAATGCAGTTTGCTATAAATTAATAAAATAGCTATATTTGCATTAATTAATATTAATTAAGCTAGATTTATTATAATATAATTAAAATTTAATTAATTAAACTTTTCTTTATCTTTTTTATAAGTTTTTATATTATGCTTAATTTTGCTATAATTATTATAGCATCTTTTAATTAATTTATTATAAATTAACTTTTTTATTTTATTATTTATTTTATTAATTAACCGCTTTACCTTTTATTTCTTTTAAATAAAAGCTTAAAATTCTTTAATTATAAGTATTTCTTTAAGTTATATATAAGTTTTTTTAGCTTTTTAACATTTAATAAATGTTATATTAGCATTTTAAAGCATATAAATTTACTTATTTATTATAATAAATAAATATATTATTATTTATATATTTTTTATTAATTAATTAATAACTTTTATAATTAATATAAAAAAGCTTCTTTAATAAATAAAAATCTTGCTTTTAATAAAACTTAATTATTAAATAATTTATTAAGTATTTAATAATATTTAAAACTTTTATTTTTAAAAAGAAATAAAAAGGAATTATATTAAAGTTTATAAGTAAATATTAAGCTTAAAAATTATAAAATTAAAGTCCTAAGGAAAACTTTTAGCTTTTTTAAATATAAACTTAATATTTTTTATTATAAAAATCTTATTATAAGCTATCTTAAATATAAGAAAGAATTTAAATTTAATAATATAATTAATAAAGGCTTAAATAAAAAAGTTAATATTATTATTATATATATACTTTAAAAGTAAATATAATGTAATATTTAATAATTAAAATAAGTAAGATAAATATAATAATATATTAATAATAATAATTTTATTATCCTTATAATATTAATTAAACTTAATTAATATATAGCTTTTATAGCTATTTATAATTAATATTTAATAATTAGCATTTTTCTTTAGCTTAATATGCTTATTAAAATATTAAATGTATTTTAAATTAATTTTATTATTTATTTATTTATTAAAAGTAAGTTTAATAACTTAATTATTTAAAAAACTTAACTTTATTACTTAATTAATAAAATAATAAGCATTTTAAATAATTATAAATAATAAAATTTATAACTTATTTATATTAATATATTTAATAATAATTATTTATTTTTAATTATTAAGTTAAATTAATTTAATCTTTTTATGCTTATTAATATATATAATAATTATTAATAAAGTAATTATACTTATTATAAAGTTAATTTTATTAAAGTTATAAAGATTATTATTAATAATTTAATATTTAATTATTATATTATAAAGTAATTTAAATTAATTCTTAATAATTTTTAAATCTTTATAAAAAACCCTTTAATAATTATAAGAATAATTAAATATAATTTTAAGGTTAAGTTATTAATTTATAAAGTATTAAATTTAATGCTTATTAATAAGCTTAGCATTTTATAATACTAATAAAAGGTTAGCTATATTTTTTATATTAAAAAGTTATAAAACAAATCTTTAAATATCTTAATTAATAATATATTAAATAAGTTTTTATTTTTTAATTTAAGTAAATTTATATATATTAATATATAATTCTTTATAAAAGCATTAGTAATTTATCTTATAATAAAGTATAATTTTAAGAATATTAAAAATTTATATAGCTTTATATAATTTAAAAGGTTTAATGCATTTTTCTTAAGAAGTTTTAATTATTTAAATAATTAAAAGTATTTTATCTTTTTTAAAAGGTTTTAATATTATAATTATTAATTTTTAATGCATTAAATATTTAAATAAGTAAATAAATAGAAAATTAATATAAAAAGCATTAATATAATTCTTATTAAAAAATAATCCCCTTATTAAAACCTAATTACTTTTATTTAAGCTATAATTACTTATATTATTTTAAATTAAGTAAATTAATTAAAAATAAGGATTTAATTATAATTAATATTAAATTTAATTAAATTATTTGCATTAAATAAGTATTAAAGTTAATTAAAGTTAGCGAAAGTTACAAAAATACGCTACTTATTAATATGCATTATTTATTAATAAATTATATTATTATAATATTAATAAGTAATTAATTAATATATTTTTTTAATTACTTAAAAGTTTTAAAAATAAGCTTTAATTATTAAAAAAAACCTTTAATATAAAAAATTACTTAATAAAGCTCTTTATATTATTAAATTTTAATAATTTATATTAAATTTAATAATATTTAAAAATATAATAATTTTTAAACACTTTATATTTAAATATTAATTAAAAACTTATTACGTTTTATTTTAATTAAATATTTAACTTTATAAATACCTTTTTTTATACCTTATAATAATAATAAAAAAACTTTTTTTTTATTATAATTATTAATAAATTATATTACTTAAGTTAATAAAAATACGTTTTAAAAATATTTTTTAAAAATAAAATAATTACTATATTAAGGAGTTAAAATATATATAATATATATATAAGTAAAAAGATTATATATATATAATTTAAATAATACTTTTATATAAAGTTAATAATTATATATATATAATTTAAATAGCACTTTTATATAAAGTTAATAATTATATATATATAATGCTTTATTAATTATAAATAAATATTATTTAAAAGAATTGCTAAAAATAATATTAAAAATAAAAACTTTCCTTAGCTATTTAATAATTATTCTTTTCTTTATTTACCCCTTTTTAATAACTATAAATTGCTAATTAAAATAATCCTTAAGGGTAATTAAAAATTATTATTATTATATACTTCCTTTCTTAAAAATAATAAAAAAATTAAAAACTTTACTTAAGGCATTAATATATTTTATAAAAAAGATTTATATTTAAGAATTAAAGTCTTTTTTAAAAACAATTATTCTTTAAATAGCTAAAAGTAAGGGTATTTTTTAAATAACCCTTTATTAACCTTTTTTTATTAATATTTTATTAATAAGTTAATAAAATAAACTTAATAATAAATAATTAAAAAAAGTTAATTTAAAAAGTAATATTCTTTTTAATTATTAATTAAAAATAAATAACTTTTATATATTAATTTTTTTAACTTTAAAGAATAAAATAATAAAAAAGGAAAGCCTTTAATTAATTCCTTTTAAAGGAAAGGTAATCTTTATTTAAAAAGGTTAATTAAGCTTTTAAAGCTTTTATTTTAAATTATATTAATGCTAATTTTAAGCTATTTTAATTAATTATAAATAAAGTTAATAAAACTTTTTAATAATTAAAAAAAAGCTTTTAAGAGTTAATAATAATATAATAACTTTAAATATTATTAAGGTAATTATATAATATAATAAAAAGGATAACGTTAAGCACCAACGAACAACGCACACTAGCAAGCGATATACTTTTCCCAGAATTATTATAATGCATCTTATAACTACGTTTTCTCACGTTATATTTTAAAATGAATAAAATAAAAGAAGATAAGATTAAACTTGCTATTTAAGCTCTTTAAAATAACCTAAAATTAAGCAAATAATATATAGCCAATATTTATTAAATTCTTAAGTTTACCCTTTATTATAAAATGGCTAGCTAAATTGCATAATATAATATCCATCTTAATAATAAGAAATTAATAAAAATAAAAAAGAAGGTACTTATTTAATATATACTTAATTAAGATTTGCAAAAATACTTGCTTATTTTTAAGGATATTAAAGATATAGCAAATTCTTTACTTTATAACCATAGTAGCAATGCCATTAAAATTAATTAAGTAAAAAAACTTATCTTATTAAAACTATATCTTAAAATATACATTAATTATATATATAATTATTAAAGAGCCTTATATAAAAATCTTAATATAATAAATATATAATTTAACCTTATATTTAATATATATAATAAATATAATATCCTTAATTATAATATTTATAATTTTAATAAGTTAAGCTTTATAATAAGTATTAAATTACTTAAAATAATAATTATATATTTTAATTAATAAGAATAAGTAAAATAAATATAGCTTAAAAATTAATAATAAATAATAATTATTAAATTAATTAATAAAAATAAATAATATAAACTGCTATTCTTAATTATTAAGGCTAAAATATATTTTATAAATTAATATATTAAGGGTAGCTTTTTAAATAATTAAGTAATTAAAATAAGCTTAAATAAATAAATAAATAATAAAATTGCTATAAAATAGATTTAATACTTTAAAAAATATATTATATTATATATAAAGGGTATTTATTAATTATTAATTCTTAATAAGCATAAAAGCTATTATTTTATAGATTTTAAATAATATTATAAATTTAAGAATATTATTATTCTTTACATACC